TGCTGGAAAGATTGCCTTTACTAAAATTATCCTACCACAATAAATTATAGTGCTTTTAGCTATGTTTTACAGGATATATTTAAAGCCTAGCATATGAGTCCCATTTTAAGCTGCTAATAGTTCTTTCTGAACATCATGATAGCCACACTCATGGCAATTGATTATAATAGCACTGATATGATATGTTATATAGCAACCAATTTATTTTTTTTTATTATTATTTTTAAGCCCTGGTTCCTATTCTGGCTACCTTTCAAAGTTAGCACCACAAAGTTCTGTGTGTGTTTGCATCCACAGGATAAGTTGCTTTTCTCTTATAATAATCTGTGTGATATATTCTTTGTGATTAGAGTCCATTATTCTAGGTCAACTGCTGTTAGGATGCAGCCATGTTGTTGTTGTCTGTCCTACAGGAGTTTCTATATCAGTGGTTCCCAAATCAGTCTTCAAGGCACCCCTACCATTTCAGGATTTAGGGATTACCTAGTTCTAAGGTGTTTTTTTTTTGTTTTGTTTTTTAAAAAAAAACACTTTAGACATACACCCTGTTCCAAATTATTATGCAAAAATATTTTTCTCATTTACCTAAATAATTGATGTAAATAACAGTCAGCATAATTCTCATGTTATCAACTATTAACCCCTTAAAACCGCAAGGCATTCTGTGCCGTCCTTAAGGAAGCGGCTCTAAATGCCACAGGGCGGCATAGAACACCCTGCGATCTTATGTACTAACCCAGTCGCTGGAGATCCCACGCTGGCGATCGAGGTATGGCGACTCACCTGGGAGCCCAGGGAATCCCCCTCCTTCCTCTTCGGCCCCTTTGGGCAATGTGAGCGCGAGGTCCTTGCGAGGACCTCGCGATCACATGGACGGCATAGCCGTCCAAGGCATTGCCAGCAAGGGGAGTGCCTGTAATGACAGGAACTCCCCCTGCTGCCTGGAAATAAATAAAGTAAAAACAGTGTAAAATTAAATAATATATACTTAGAACATATATATATATATATATATATATATATATTTATTATATATATGATCTACGTAAACCAACCTCATGCTGAAGAGTTGCATTAAAGGACCACTATAGTGCCAGGAAAACATATTCGTTTTCCTGGCACTATAGTGCCCTGAGGGTGCCCCCACCCTCAGGGTCCCCCTCCCGCCCGGCTCTGGAAGGGGGAAAGGGGTAATAACTTACCTTTTTCCAGCGCTGGGCGGAGAGCTCTCCTCCTCCTCTCCGCCTCTGATCCGCCCCGCCGGCTGAATGCGCACGCGCGGCAAGAGCTGCGCGCGCATTCAGCCGGTCGCATAGGAAAGCATTTACAATGCTTTCCTATATGGGCAACTGCGATGCTCTCACTGTGAAAATCACAGTGAGAAACGCATAAAAGCGGCATGCCTCTAGTAACTGTCCGTAGAGACAGCCACTTCCAGAGGATAGGGAAGACTTAACATTCATAGTATAGCAGTTTCTCTGAAACTGCGCAATTGCTCGAAAATATAAGGTTAACCCTAGGAGACCAGCACCCAGACCGCTTCATTAAGCTGAAGTGGTCGCAGGTGCCGGTATCAGTCCTTTAACAAGCGAAGAAACAGCTGTCCATGAGTGGTTCACTGGTTTTGCATCTTATCCTAAATTGTGTTCCAAGCAGTTGTATACTGCAAACGCAAATTAAAAGGAATCCATGTTTAAAATGGAATGAGGCAAAAATGTGATTCTTTGTTAAACTAATTTGCATATGCCCACCCAGAATCCTTTGCGGTTGTAACATCACTGCTGATTTGGGATTTCTGTGGGAAAAGCAAGTCTTATGGCTTGACTGGTGTGCAGATTTTTGTTTGGCATTGTATTAACTATCCACATACTTCAGGTGGAAGGGGTTTTCAATCACAATTTTTCCCCACCATAACCTAATTGAATTTTGCTTCCCAAGCACTACCAAGCCTTACTAAGCAAACCAGTAACCAACCTCATGCTGAAGAGTTGCATTAACAACGAAACAGCTGTCCATGAGTGGTTCACTGGTTTTGCATCTTATCCTAAATTGTGTTCCAAGCGGTTGTATACTGCAAACACAAATTAAAAGGAATCCATGTTTAAAATGGAATGAGGCAAAAATGTGATTCTTTGTTAAACTAATTTGCATATGCCCACCCAGAATCCTTTGCGATTGTAACATCACTGCTGATTTGGGATTTCTGTGGGAAAAGCAAGTCTTATGGCTTGACTGGTGTGCAGATTTTTGTTTAGCATTGTATTAACTATCCACATACCTCAGGTGGAAGGGGTTTTCAATCACAATTTTTCCCCACCATAACCTATTTGGATTTTGCTTCCCAAGCACTACCAAGCCTCACTAAGCAAACCAGTAACCAACCTCATGCTGAAGAGTTGCATTAACAACGAAACAGCTGTCCATGAGTGGTTCACTGGTTTTGCATCTTATCCTAAATTGTGTTCCAAGCAGTTATATACTGCAAACACAAATTAAAAGGAATCCATGTTTAAAATGGAATGAGGCAAAAATGTGATTCTTTGTTAAACTAATTTGCATATGCCCACCCAGAATCCTTTGCGGTTGTAGCATCACTGCTGATTTGGGATTTCTGTGGGAAAAGCAAGTCTTATGGCTTGACTGGTGTGCAGATTTTTGTTTAGCATTGTATTAACTATCCACATACATCAGGTGGAAGGGGTTTTCAATCACAATTTTTCCCCACCATAACCTATTTGGATTTTGCTTCCCAAGCACTACCAAGCCTCAATAAGCAAACCAGTAACCAACCTCATGCTGAAGAGTTGCATTAACAGCGAAACAGCTGTCCATGAGTGGTTCACTGGTTTTGCATCTTTTCCTAAATTGTGTTCCAAGCAGTTGTATACTGCAAACACAAATTAAAAGGAATCCATGTTTAAAATGGAATGAGGCAAAAATGTGATTCTTTGTTAAACTAATTTGCATATGCCCACCGAGAATCCTTTGCGGTTGTAACATCACTGCTGATTTGGGATTTCTGTGGGAAAAGCAAGTCTTATGGCTTGACTGGTGTGCAGATTTTTGTTTAGCATTGTATTAACTATATATATATATATATATATATATATATATATATATATATATATATATATATATATATATATATATATATATATATATATATATATATATATATATATATATATATATATATATATATATAAATATCAAAATACATGTGCAATGATATTGACTAAATATATATATATATATATATATATAATTATCATTATATATATATATATATATATATTTATATAATATAAAATAAACAAATATGTAAATATGTTAAAAAATTTACTTTTAAAAATAATAAAAAATAAATACAAAATATATATACATGTGTAATTTTGTTAACTGTCTTAACTGTATTTTAAAATGTGTGTATATATATATATATATATATATATTGATATCAAAATACATCACAATTTATATACCTATATATAAATAAAAATAATTTTTTAAAAAATGTGTATACATATACATATATATATATATATTTATGCATACACACAGATATATATACACACGTATATATATATATATATATATATATATATAATAATTCTACGTATATATTTATGTAATAATTTTACATAATTAGGTCATTTTATTAATTACAATTTGCAGGACCTGCCTGACAACCCAGGCCGAAAGTTCAGGGAATTTAATTTGCTAGCACTGTATTTAATACTGTAACTTTCCAAGACACCATAAAACCTGTACATGGGGGGTACTGTTTTACTCGGAAGACTTCACTGAACAAAAATATTAGTGTTTCAAAACAGTAAAATATATTACAATGATGATATTGTCAGTGAAAGTGACATTTTTTGCATTTTTCACAAACAAATGGCACTTACACTGACGATATAATTGTTGTGATATTTGTGATGTTTTACTGTTTTGAAACACTAATATTTGTGTTCAGTGAAGTCTCCCAAGTATAACAGTACCCCTCATGTACAGGTTTTATGGTTTTATGGTGTTTTCAAAAGTTGCAGAGTCAAATATAAAGTTTGCGTTTCAGTTTTTTCACATTGAAATTCGCCAGGTTGGTTATGTTACTTTTGAGACCGTACGGTAGCCCAGGAATGAAAATTACCCCCATGATGGCATACCATTTGCAATAGTAGACAACCCAAGGTATTGCAATTGGGTTATGTTCAGTCTTTTTTAGTAGCCACTTAGTCACAAACACTGGCCAAAATTGGTGTTCAAATTAGTTTTTTTCATTTTCAAATAATAACACTAACTTTGGCCAGTGTTTGTGACCAAGTGACTACTGGATTGGATTATAGTGGAAATCAAGTATATAGATGGTTAACAGGTGATCAAAGACAAAGACCAAGGCGTTTCCGTAAGAAAATAGTGAAACCCAATATCTCCACCATAGACATTACATCGGGAGAATCTGAGTCTGAGAGTGAGGGTACGATGACACAGAAATCAGTTACTTTTTTAGGGGTCAGCGAATCAACAGAGGCAACCCCCATACGCAAGATTACAAGAAGCAGCCGGAGAAACGAAGGAGACAAGTCACAAGGAGAGGCCAGGGGGGGCATCCCCATTGGTCTCAGGGACAGACCTCCTCTCCAGAAATAATTCCTGTCTTTAATCTTTCTGACAGGGAACTGTCTATAGGGGAAATTGATATACTGAATAAGGGCCTTTCATTTATCCCCACTACAATGGCCAATAGTTTCCAATGGGATGTGGAACTTTTCAAATTTGGGAGTCTAAGGTTAAAAGATTTCTTTAATAAAACACAAAAAGATCAACCACTGGACCACGTACAACAACAAGGGTACAAATTTAAAAATCCCAGCAAGTTTGACCCACCTTTATGTCACTCTACAATCAAGACTTTTTTAACAACGGTTAAATCAAAAACAGAAGAGATCTTATCTAAGAAACATTCTAGACACTCTAATCTCTCTAAGGAACAGAGGAACATGATACAAAAACTATCACAAGATGCAACTATAACAATACGACCGGCGGACAAGGGAGGCGGTATTGTGATACAAAATTACAGGGATTACGCATTGGAAATCCAGAGACAGCTGGATGATGTGGACACTTATCAAATATTGAAAGGGGATCCAACTATGGATATAGCACAGAAAATACAAGAAACCCTTACCTTTGGGTTAAGAGCAGGGTACATTGACACACAATTATTCCAATTTCTGAATAAAAGTAATCCACGTACTCCTATTATATATACGCTCCCGAAAATTCATAAGGATGCTTTGAAGCCTCCCGGACGACCAATAGTTTCGGCAGTGGATGGAATCTTGGAGCCGATTGCGAAATATCTAGATTTTTTGTTTAAGTTACCAGTCAATGCAATCCCTACATGTCTAAAAGACACGACACAATTAATAGAGGAGTTAAAAAATTGAGACATATTGAAGTACCGATCATCTTCATTACCTTGGATGTTTCAAGTCTGTATACAGTAATACCACATGAAGGGGGAGTAGAAGCGATGCGAGAATTGCTCACAGAAACTGAATATTACAATGGACCCCCCATTGAATACACACTTGAATTACTGTCTCTGGCCTTAAGGAACAACTATTTCAGATTTGAAACAAAGTGGTACCTACAAAAAGCGGGAACGTCCATGGGGGCGGCTATGGCCCCCATGTATGCCAATTCGTACATGTACCAGTTCGAAAAAGAATACATCTTTAAGAGACATTCAAAACTCATCTTAAAATACTTTCGGTATATAGATGATATACTCATCTTATGGAGAGGTACTATAGAAGAAGCACAAAACTTAGTGGAAGATATTAATGGATCAAATACCCCTATTTTTGTGACATCACACATTCATCAACATCAGACACAATTTTTGGATCTGGAAATCCGAGTGGAACAAGGGAGAATAGAGTATCAAATGTATACGAAACCAACAGATAGAAACACCTTGCTCCATTATGAAAGTGCTCATCCCAAACATGTCAAAGATTCATTGCCGTTCTCCCAGTTCTTAAGAGTTATAAGAAATAACTCGGATATCACTCGTTGTGAGGAACAAATACAGCAAATGTATAATAAATTTACACAGAGAGGATACACACGAGGGATACTTGATAAAGCACTTACAAAAGCTAGGGATCGAATGGCTGGTGGAGTGACACTATCTCGGAATAATAAAGATCGAATTCCTTTTCCGATGACATACAATGCCTCTACCACTCAAATCTGCCATGAAATTAACACGAATTGGCGTCTTATGGAGAATGATGTGAGTCTTCCAGAGAGTTTCCGCAATAAGCCACTGTTTTCATATAAGAATAATAAAAGCTTACGTGATCTTCTTGTTCAGACTGATCCAATCCGTAGCTACCTTCCAGAGATTAAGAGTAATACCAACAATGGATGTGTAAGATGCCTTGGTTGTGTAACTTGTGGACACCTCATCCCTTGCAAAAGTTTCAATCATCCACACACGGGACAAATATTTAGAATACAACATAGAATCAATTGTCGGACTGACTTTGTTATTTATAAGTTGTCCTGTCCTTGTGGGCTTAATTACGTTGGAAAAACGGAGACCGCCCTCTGTGAGAGGATAAGAGGACATAGGTCTAGTATTAGATTAGCCTACAGGGATAATAAGTCTGACAAACCGGTCGCACGACATTTTTTGGAAAAAGGTCATCCCCTCACATCATTGAAATGTGTGGCGATAGACCATGTCCCAGTTTCCAGAAGAGGTGGCAATAGACAAGAGAGACTTTTGCAAAGAGAAACATGGTGGATCAAGAAACTGGGAACTCTAGCTCCAAATGGACTAAATGAAAAACTGTCCTTTGTTGCCTTTTTATAATTTAAAAAAAAGGGGGAGTGTGATAGTGGGATGACAACTAGAATACATTGTGGTCCTGCTTAGATGAATGCCAGCCCCTTTTTGAATTTTTCAATTCTTCTACTTTTTAAATCATTGTTTATTATTAGATACATTTTATGTTGAGAATTTGTCATGCTTTAGACTTTTCTAAATTGGGACTTCCAATCCAGGTTGTGCTGAATCGTCCACGTATGATATGCCCTTCTCCTGTTTGGGGTTTTTATTGGTACAATAAGGGACTTACTTGTGTCCTTTTGTCAGATGTTCTGTCCAATAGGGATTTAGGACATAGATGACTATATGAATTTATGGATTGGCATGGAGTTAATCTTGGATTCTAGGCACTGTTTCACTTTAATTACTGATATTGTCTATCACTGTTTTTCACGCAAATATATGCACGTGCACTTTAAAGTTTGGATAGATGTATAATCGATTATGAGTTTGACACATGATTAAGGATACATCCTTATGGATGTCCAAATATGAATATTACCACAATCATATACACATATTGCTAATGACATTATTGTCTATCTTTATAACACCTTGCTTAAGGTTTTTTCACAGTATGTTAATTATTAGCTCAGTATGTCATTAGTGGGTTAGTTATAATTTTTATAGAACATGGGATCGTTGTTTGGATCTTAAATATTGGTGTTGTCACTATTGTATTCACATAGAGGTGGATAGTACCATTAACCTTTGGTTTTTATTATAGGATTTAGGGGTTCGTTTTGTATATGTGGCCTTTTCTTCCCCTCTCTCTAGATTTTAGTATATACACAGGTTACAGCTTTAATTCCTTCCTTGGTGGAGGATAAGATGTAGAGACCGGAATATCCAAGCTAGATACGCATGCGTCCGGTATCACTATGACTACGGACGACGCAGCCATTCAGGAAGTAACTGAGGAGATCGTTGTTAGACGCAATGGCGTCCCGATCTCCATGGCAACGTAATGAACGTGGTGATGTCACGTATATCACGTGACGGCGTGAGCAGGAAGTGGGGAAATGCCGGGAATTGATAGCGTTTGAGCGGACGCTCGAGAGGAGGGGAGGTTCTCCATCAGCACACCTGGATTGTGAGTTTTAATTGGATTTATGTCCCTATTTAAGCTGTGTTGTTTTTCATTTATGCTTTGTATGCTGTCCTGATGAAAGCTCCCAAGAGGAGCTGAAACGTTGACCTGTGGAGTAAAGTATTTTTTTTGGCTTATTTACAAATCCTGGGAGTGCTGATTTTTCTTTTGCTTGGTATTTATTGTGCAATCGAGCACCGGGTTCTATTTAAAGTTTGGTAGGAGTGCAAGGCTTTTTTTGTTATTTATATATATATATATATATATATATATATATATATATATATATATATATATATATTTATATAATATAAAATAAACAAATATGTAAATATGTTAAAAAATTTAATTTTAAAAATAATAAAAAATAAATACAAAATATATATACATGTGTAATTTTGTTCTAACTGTATTTTAAAATGTGTATATATATATATATATATATATATATATATATTGATATCAAAATACATCACAATTTATATACCTATATATAAATAAAAATAATTTAAAAAAAAATGTGTATACATATACATATATATATACATATATATATATATTGATATCAAAATACATCACAATTTATATACCTATATATAAATAAAAATAATTTAAAAAAAAATGTGTATACATATATATATATACATATATATATATATTTATGCATACACACAGATATATATACACACGTATATATATATATATATATATATATAATAATTCTACGTATATATTTATGTAATAATTTTACATAATTAGGTCATTTTATTAATTACAATTTGCAGGACCTGCCTGACAACCCAGGCCGAAAGTTCAGGGAATTTAATTTGCTAGCACTATATTTAACACTGTAACTTTCCAAGACACCATAAAACCTGTACATGGGGGGTACTGTTTTACTCGGAAGACTTCGCTAAACAAAAATATTAGTGTTTCAAAACAGTAAAATATATTACAATGATGATATTGTCAGTGAAAGTGACATTTTTTGCATTTTTCACAAACAAATGGCACTTACACTGACGATATAATTGTTGTGATATTTGTGATGTTTTACTGTTTTGAAACACTAATATTTGTGTTCAGCGAAGTCTCCCGAGTATAACAGTACCCCTCATGTACAGGTTTTATGGTTTTATGGTGTTTTCAAAAGTTGCAGAGTCAAATATAAAGTTTGCGTTTCAGTTTTTTCACATTGAAATTCGCCAGGTTGGTTATGTTACTTTTGAGACCGTACGGTAGCCCAGGAATGAAAATTACCCCCATGATGGCATACCATTTGCAATAGTAGACAACCCAAGGTATTGCAATTGGGTTATGTTCAGTCTTTTTTAGTAGCCACTTAGTCACAAACACTGGCCAAAATTGGTGTTCAAATTTGTTTTTTTCATTTTCAAATAATAACACTAACTTTGGCCAGTGTTTGTGACCAAGTGACTACTAAAAAAGACTGGACATACCCCATTTGCAATACCTTGGGTTGTCTACTTTTGCAAATGGTATGCCATCATGGGGGTAATTCTTATTCCTGGGCTACCATACGGTCTTAAAGGCAACGTAACCAATCTGGCGAATTTCAATGTGAAAAAAAACAGAAAAATTTAACACGCAATATTTGACTCTGTAACTTCCTAAAACACCATAAAAGTGTACATAGGTGGTACTGTTTTACATGTGAGACATTGCTGAATACAAATATGTATATTTTATTGCAGTAAAAGCAAAGAGTATTTTGGCATTCACAGTTAAAATGTCACGTAGAACTAAGAAAATTTTAAAAAATCTTATTTTCTCCCATTTTTTTTTATATTTTATTCATATTAAATTATGTTCCATACCTAAATATTCAATGCTTAATGAAAGCCCTGTTTCCCCTGAATAAAATGATAGATAATAAGTGTGGGTGCATTTAATATGAAAGAGGTGAATTACGGTTGGACAGACATATAGCGCAAATGCCAGGTTCTGTTTATGTTTTGTTTTGTTTTGATCACAACTTGTACATTTGGCTGCGGTCTTAAGGGGTTAAGAGTACAATTCAAATTTTATTGAACAAACCTCCTAATGATAACAGTATTTATTTTAAAACAAAAAAAACGTACAATGCACTATTCCAAATTATTACGCACAGTAAGTTTCAAAACACTTTATAGGTTGTAAAGAACTGAAAATTGTCATTTGTTGTGTTTGCAGCATATTTACTGAAATCAAAAGCTATTTCAATCAAACAACATTTTAACTTTTTAAACATTTTAACAGGTCACGTTACATTTTTTTCATTCAAGCGGTTTTATTAATTTTTTCAATAACAGGAATGTTACAATACGTTATTCAGAACATGGTGTATGTAGTCTCATGAGGCGCAATTCAGACATGTTCACAGACAGTAAGGAATGGTCAATGATAGGTGCTTACAGTTAAGTACATTGGGACAAGATAATCGTAATACATAACTAACATTCTACATGGTATTCTCACAGATGAGGCATGTGCCTTTATCTAAGATGGTGGTTATAATGAGAAAACTAATTATCTGTGTGCAGTGACGCTTCTCCGGTTTCTGCAATAATATTAAGGGCAGGTAGCAATTACCATCATTCTTGAGCTAAGCCTAAATACACCTAAGTATTAGTTATAAAGGCCCTATGTGTCCGGTTTAATAAAGTAATGTTAATGCTTATACAATCTAATGGTACCAGTTAATGCTTTAGTAGGCTAAGTTAGTAAGTAAGTAATAGCATGTTTTGAATAACCTTCATAATAAAGCGTATTTGCTGGAATCTTATGTCTGCATTTTCGATGTGAAAAAATAAAAAGTAAACCAAGTAAACTAAACTTAAATAAAAAATTTAAAATATATCACTGGCAGCCTCTGGGAGCGTATGCCAGTGGTGCATGAGTATCTAGGTGAGAGGTTGCTATGCAAGAAAAAAAAATTGTAAGCCTCCCAGGCAGCTGCATATATAATAGGAAGTACTGATAACAATAACACACTATGGGCAGAGTTAGCAGCCTGGTTCCGGTTGCTGCATAAGTTACTGAGGAAAGATTTCATAAACCATCAACTTAAGACGTAGCCTAAATATCTGCGTCTAAACAGCATAGTAAAGCATCATGTATTTCATATTAACAATTTATGCCATAATTGTTTAAGCTGTGAGAAGACTGTGTTACCTCACAATTTTACGTTGCAATTTACTGCAATACTGAGTTAAGTTATCTGATCAATGATGGCATAAATCAGGGTGGCATTCTAAATAAACATATTATTATAACTCCTGTTCCTGCATATATTTCTAAAAAACTAATA